CTCTAACTTTTAGTTCTGTTTTGTTATGGCTTTTAAAAGCCTTTTTCTTTTTATGGATTAGATCTTTGACTCCAGAATTTACCCACGGTTTAAAGTTAGGGAAGATGGTAACTTGTTTTTTAAGGGCCACTATATCTACACAAAATTTAACATAGTCTGTGACTGTTGACAGAGCAAAGTGAACACACCCGGTCGCCACAGAGTAGTGCTCAATAAGTCAGACAGTCGCTGACAGTGCAGTGTGATTACATGACGTCACCGTTCAGAGCGCTTCGAATTTTGAATAGCCTAGGCCTAGAGGAAGAGGAGCTTATTGCGACAGCTTACTTCATGAGAAAAAAAAATCGCTATTTTCCAAGAGTCAGCTGCCCTTGCTTGAGCTCCAATTTTACTACGTTTCAGATATATATGAGATGTAAGTCCATTATCTGTTTAAAAAAATTAAAGATGTTAAAGCAAGAACCGCCAAGGCAAGGTCAGCATTCAATCAATTATCAAAAGTCTGGAAAGCAAGCAACATCTCCTTGTGCACCAAGATTCGAGTCTTTAATTCCAACATCAAGTCTGTGCTCCTCTACGGCTGCGAAACTTTGAACACAACAAAGGAAGGAGCTTGTATGTGGCCTATACCCTGCCAGGGGTTTAAGGCATTGATTATGCCAAGGCGGCTAGGTGTTAGCACATTGGTCCTACTGTGGCAATTGTCAGCAATCCATTGTGCAGCAGACATTATTGCCTGGCATTCTTCGTTATTAGATGATGTAAGGAATGCACCTTTAGTTTTAATAATTTCTGTTCGTGGTGGTTCATCATTCATTATCGCCACTGCTGCTGCTCCACCTTCGCGGTATCCTGCGACAGCCGATCCATTGGTGAAAATTGTCACATCCGCACCAACCTCTTTGATCACATCCTCAGCTGCTTCACGTGCCTTTACAGGATCATCACCTTTTCCTTTCACTCCTTTCAGTTCGATTTCGCCATGGGTCTCCCATGGACAAGCTCTCACCAGATTGATCGACCATCGATTCTCTGCTTCAGGGGGGAGGTGGTCTGCTAGATCGGTACCCACCCGAAACCAACTTTTCCTGCTGTTTTTAGGCTTGACTGCTTGATCAAGGGCTTTCTTTCTAGGATGGTTGTCTGGTAATCTCTTAGCCATCTCTACAGACTTGAGGCATGTTCTTTTTGTATAGGTGGTGTAGTGCTCAGTTCTGGTCTCATAGCTCAGCGCTTATGTTGGTGTTGTTTCAGGTGGCCTGATACAAGTCGGAGGGCTTTGTTTTGTATTCTGTCCAGGGCCTTTGCACTAGCCAAGGCTGCCACGCTGGGGAAGCATAATCCATCTTGCTTTTCACTAACATCTGATACACTTTCTTGAGCGACTCCTTACCCCAGCCCCGTTTTGAGTTGCTGACAGCACCGATAACCTTCATTTTTGAGGTTGCACTTTTGGACACACCCTCAATGTGCTTGTTGAAGGTTAGCTGTCTATCCAGGTAGACGCTCAGCAGACGTGGAGTGGGGTTGAATGGTATCTTTTTCCCTTCGATCTGAGTTATTGGTTGTCACGTTGCCTCTTTCTCTCAAGTTGAGAAGAAGCACACTTCACTCTTGGTTGCATTCAAGGTAAGCTTCCATTCATTGCTCCATTTCACAACCATATCCACAATCAACTGTGTCGCTTCATTGACCTTTTCTCTCTTTGCGTGACTGGCCAGTATTGTGCAGTCATCAGTGAACATTGAGTAGATCAGCTTGGCGGAGGTTAGTTGTTGTGAGTCAGGGTTTGGGAGGGATTTTGCCAGGTTGTTTATGAAGAATATAAACAGCAGCGGTGATAGTACAGCTCCTTGGGGAAGCCCTTGCTTAAAATTCTGGCTCTTGCTTGTTTCTCTATTCAGGCGAACACGGGCCTGTCTGTTTCTCAGGAAACCATGGATCCATCTGATTGCACGCAGCGGAACTCTCTTGTCAGCCATTGACAGTAATAGTTTTTCACGCCAAACCGTATCATATGCCTTGGAGTAGTCCAGCAGGACTAGGACTAATCGATGGAATGTTGGCTTTTGTTGAAATCCATCCTTAATTCCTTGGCAGATTCTGATGATCTGGTCCGTGCAGCTATGACCTTGGCGAAAGCCTGCCTGAATATCTGCAATCCATTCATTCTTCTCTGACAGGTAGTAAATTCTTTCAGCGTGCATCCTTTCTATAACTTTCACGACACACGATGTCAAACTAATGGGTCGAAAGGGTGTCATATCACAAGGTGACTTACTAGCTTTCAAGAGAGGAATGATAAGTGTCTTACGCCAGTCTTGTGAGCACGCTGCTTGGTTAAGCGACAGATTATATATGCTGAGCAATTCTTTCAATGCGAGTGGGCCAAGCTCTTTTAGGAAAGATGGTGGTATATCTTCAGGTCCTGGAGCACTTCTTCTCTTCATTTGTGTTATGGCACGCTCCAGCTCTTTCATGAAGTCTGGGTATAATTGTTGTTCACCTTCGCTTTTCACGTCGTGATACGGTAGGCGCTTCAATCGTGGTTTGTTTCTTCTGCGCTCCTCCTGGGTAAATTGGAGCTTACTGATTTTTGCACAGTGCTGGGCAAAAAGCTCAGCTTTCTTCTTTGCTGATGTTATCCTTTTCCCGTTGTGTTTCAGTACTTCGTTGGGGGAGTTGGTATCTGGTGATCCATTTAGAGACTTGATGAAACTCCAAGTTTTCCTTTCGTCCAGATCATTTATCACGCCATTAACTACCTCCTTCTACTGGTCAGTCTTTGCTTCCTGGACAGCCTCTGTAACATCTTTGCAAGCTTGTAACCTTTCCTCCCTGTGTGAGGAGATATTTTTTCTTAGCTAGTTTCTTTTCTTGATCCGTCCACGACACTTGGGGGTCTTCCAAGAGTGGGATTTCTTGGACGGCTTCACCTTCCTGACATGCGCATAAGCTGCTTCGAGTAAGATGGCATTGAAACGTTGGACTCGCAGATTCAGATCGTCCGTTTCCGGTAAGTTATCCATCTTGCTTTCAATCTCATTTCGAAAGTCTAGCCAGTTCACTCCGTTTCTTCTCCATCGCGACGCCTTTGCAAAGATCGATTGATGTTTAGTTGCACTGTTCACTACAATGATGATTGCAGAATGATCAGAACCACCGAGATCTTCATCATCCACCGACCTTACACATTTGCTCTTCCAGACACTTCCACATTGCGTGACATCTGGCGAGCTGCCAGCCTCTGTTGTTTTTCTTGATTCGGGTGACAGAACCATCATTCAGGATGTCAAGCGATTTATGACTCGCCCATTCAACTACATCTTCTCCTCGCGCATCATCTGGTTGAATCTCATCCCAGACTGGGGAATGCGCATTGATGTCACCGCAAATGATGCTTGATGGCGACACTGGGATGCTGTTCAAATCAAGCTGGATGGTTTGACCTGTGCTGTTTTTAGGTGGGCAGTAGACATTAGTGGCAGTTATCCACTTTTTTTGGTCATTCTTATTCTGATGGTCAGCGATTCTGTTTCTGTCTTCGCCCTTCTATCCACTATTTCATACACCAGACTATCTCTGACATAGTTGATCAATCCTCCTCCCCGGGCGCCCTCAGATGATGATGATGATGATGATGATGATGAGGATGATGATGATGATGATGATGATGATGATGATGAAGAAGAAGAAGAAGATCACAGTGATATAGTCCAATATTTGGACGTCTTTTTCTAACGGGTTTTACTCTAATAGCGTCAGAAAATAAAATCAGCACGTTTATACCAAAACAGGACTGTTGAAAATTTACCCTGTTGAAACTGAAAAGTGATCATTAAAGGTACGACATTGATTTGGGAATCGTCATTAACCTCAGCAGCTGATACGTAACTCGACTGACATTCACGACAACACACGTAACGCCTGCAAGGCGATGGCTTGTGTCTTCTTGACCGTATAAAATAGGTCTCGTTCAGATCTGCATGCACATCGGCTGTGAGAAAGCTGCTGACAAAAGCGAGAGATGAGGACATTAATTATCTTAGCTGTGCTGTTTCTAGGAAGTAAGTACGCTCTGAATATCGGTATGCTGCTTTGGGGTTATGACACACATTTTGTTCCTTGGTCAACCAAGATGTAAGCATCATCTGGTGGTGGTAGTTGTTGGGAGGGGGGGGGGGGTTTGCTGGGTTGTTGTTGTTTTTTAACGTATAACTAATCTAATCTTTTCAATGTTTAGTATCAGCAGATCACAACTTTTCTTCACGATCAGAAGCTGTCTTGAACCTGAGGTATGGTAGCCTATAAGTTATAAGGAATACAAAATTCCTGGGTAGTATTTCGGTGGAAAGGCGGGTATGCTAAAATCATGCGAACTACCCAAACACTTAACTTCGATGTCAAGCCGGGAATGCAATCTTGGGGTCATCAATTGACCCGCAAACCGCGAGTTTGGAACCGCTGTCCTTCAAGAAAATGTATGATATAACAAGTTAGCATAATTTGTATCTGACATACAGGTCAAAGCCAAGACGTCGATTTCGACAATGAGGGTGAAACTTTTGAACACGAGATTTACAACATGACCTTAATAAGTATTGGCACCGGAGACAATGGGACATTGGACGACAACGAGAATTTTACAGACACCACTCGTTCCATGTCACCAACGGTGGATGGAAATTTTATTGTAGGAGGACGGACGGCGCGCAGGAGAGAACAGCCTTGGATGGTGTCAGTCCAGGTCAATTCTTTAACATCTTGAACATTTTGGGTTCGTATGTATGTGTTTGTGTGTGTGTGTGTGTGTGTGTGTGTGTGTGTGTGTGTGTGTGTGTGTGTGTGTGTGAATATGTGTGCATGGGTTATTTAGGATGTTGGCTTCCGACTGCCTGCCGCCAGGGCCCGCCTGAGTTGAGAGGGATACAACATCCCAGCAGAAAGACCGAGATACTCGATAAAAAAAATTGTCTTCAGACTCGGGAGGTGTGGGAGAAAAATTGAGAAAGAAATCACAGATATAGAGAGTAAAAAAGAAAAAGAGATGAGAGAGAGAGAGAGAGAGAGAGAGAGAGAGAGAGAGAGAGAGAGAGAGAGAGAGAGAGAGAGAGAGAGAGAGAGAGAATGCAATTGAAATCTTAGGGTGGTCCGCAGAAAGGGGAGGAACTATTATTTGAATTAAATACGATTCAGATAGAAAGCTGCTCCAATTGTATTATCAAATTTTTAAAGAGGAATGAGGAAAGGTCAAGGAAATATATTATGGTCTTCCCTGGATAGTTGAATTTGATGCTTTCATATGAAATGGTGCGGTCAGTGAACAATTTTTCTGTTGTTTTTGCCCAGGGCGCTTATTTCATCCATGTTGACATAGAAAACTGGTTAAGATGGCAGGAGACATTTCAGAGCCAGAATTCAGTCATAAAGAAACTGACATATTACAGGAATTAGCCTATTAGGCTACCCACAGTTTTGCCAACTGGCTGTAGAATATTTTGAACTTTGAGAGCAAAGAAAATAGATAATAATAATAATAACTGCATTTAAATAGCACATACCCGCGCGCTCTACAGCATGCTCTACGTATTGTAACTAGTATACCTCAGCAGACCTTAAAACACTCAGAAACATTCTCGTCTTCCCAGGAAGCATACCGTGCAAGCTGCGGACTGCATATATTCAAACACTAGCAAACTGACAAGGTCTTTCGTTATCTATAGCCGGGTACCTATTCCCCTGTGGCTGAAGTGAGGAAAATTGGTACAATAGTGCATTTAACAGGGACACAACGTAGGGACCCTGACAGAATTCGTACCCGACGATCTTACGGCTGTGAGCCCGAGAGCTTACAACTTTGCCCCTGACTCCACATTAAGTAGTAGATCTATTAAGAGTGATCTCTAGTCCAACACTAAACATTATTCGTGAGATTTTGACACTAACGCCAACACAGCTGAAATGGGCTTCCGTTGCATGTGCTAAAAAATTAGAGCCTAATAGTCAATATTCAAATTCTAAATTGTTGAAATTAAAATCACGAAAAGATAGACAATATAGGAACAATTGTTAAAAGAATAAAACATTTTTTTTCCTCTACAAAAATGTTGCTTTCTAGGCTTAGAACATTTGAGCAAATTGTCAACGTCATATAATTTCTTTTATTTTTTTATTTTTAAACACAAAAAAGATCCAACACGTTTAATACAAGATAACAGTATCTTGATACAGTCAAACCTGCTCCAATGGCCGCTTGTATTAGGCTAGACTGTACAAACGGTCACTTCCCACTTCCTCTTTTGCGTATTTTTAAGCATTATAAAATTATTATGATACTGTGTAAGACGTCTACTTGTCGAAGACAACCGTTTTTCTCCTCGACAATGGGTGGCCGTCCTAGACAATTTCGACTGAGATCTATCTTCAGCAATAGGTTTGTCTCTTTGACCAATCAAAGCCTTGCTCTTAAGGGGGGGGGGGGGGCTACACCCCTAAAGTCAAAATTCGGCTCAAAATTATGAAATTTAAGTTGTAGGCATTTTTAGCTTCCTCAGCCTCTCCTACAACTATTCCATCATATCAGAACCCCCAAAAGTCGTATTTTTTCCCATACCGGGCATGTTTGTCACCACCATTTCCTCAAAAAGTCAATATTTTCTTTTTCTTTAACGGCCGTTTTCTCAGAACGCGACTTTTCTCTATACTTTTTTGAATAACTCCACCATTTTTCATCCAATCGTCATGAAATTTTCACAGATTGAAGAGAAGATGTAATACTAAAGATTAGTTTGTTGAATATTTGATATATGGAATAAATTTTTGTTGGTGGTGTCTGGAGTGTGGATTTTTAAGGATTTTTGAAAACTTGAATGCTACCTTAGGAAAAAATTCATTAAAAA